ATGACGAAATGATAAAAAGCTATGAAACTTTAATCTTATATATACTTAAAAATATAGAAATAATTGAATTAAGAAGAATAATATGGGAAAAATATTTAATGATTACGAATCAGAAGATATATTAAACTAAGAATGATATGAAATAGACCTACATGATTTAGACCTCGAAAGAATAGAATGGTATGATTTAGAAATAAATTCAGATTAAAATGAACTACGAATATTTACAATATTGGATAGAATCTATGGAAGATATAAAACTATTAGAACAATTAATGAAGGAAAATTTATATATGTACCAAAGAACCCAAAATATGTTATATCTAGAATATATCATAAATAATATTAAAAAAATATTCAGATTAAAACAACTATCGGAAGAATATTACAATAAATATTATTACATTTTACAATGAATTCCTCAACTACCAGTTTCGCTACGAAAAATGGTATCTAAGTATTTTGTTATTAGGTTCTAGTAAAGGCTTCATAGACTAGTGTGGGCATTTAAGTCATATATGTCTCTCACTATTTAGATATCAGTAGGTTATGTCATATATATGATTCAGGCTTATATTAGTAGTTGTTTGTGTATCTACAATTATGTATTGGAACTAGCTAATTAGATCTTTCACATGTTTTTCTTATAGAGTTGGGTCATATGGTTTAGTATATATGTATATAGCTCATCTATACATACTGAGCATGGTCTTCTTCACCTAGGTTAGGATGTGACATGATGGATGAATAAAACTATAATTGTAGACGACAACTTTACAATTTCTATGAAGCATCTAATGGAATCTTTAAAAGTCTAACTATATATATAAGTACATCTGATAATACTAGACACCTATTATCTTCAGTTAGGCATATTTGGGAGCTTCTAAGAGATCATATTTAGCTTTTGTAAACAATAATGAGATGGTGAATTATTCAAGTGTTGATATTTGAAATCTACTTTTTTTATTGGCGTGAAAGACATCTACATCATTAATGATATTTCTGTGCTCCTTGATACACCGTATGATGTCCCATTAAATGTATGTATGTATTTTTGCGTCTGTCTCACATGTTTTTAGATTGTCTACTAGCTAATAGTAGGCCAAAGCTCCAGTCAGTCGGCCCTAAAAGAGAAATTCAAGGAGCTTTGAGAATTTAAAAAGATTGTGTTCAGATTTAGTCATTTATTTTTTCTTCAGTATTTTTAACTTCTCCAATCTTATACTTGCACATATTTTGATAGTCATGAGTCAAGAAGGACCTTCAAGAAGAACCAAAGTTACCAAAAAAAGGACATATGCTAAACCGGGAACATTATCATCCTTGGTACAACAAAGACAATCATATTTGACAACACAAGAAACTCTTCAGGCTGTGCGGTCAGAGAAAAAGAACCTGCTAAAGTTAATTGAGAAAGAACAGCCAATTGCAAAACAACGAGTTACACCACAATCTGAAACAAATGAACAATGTGTAGAGGAGCAACCAACTGTAGAAGAGCAACCAACTGTAGAGGAGCAGGTTCAAATGGATTCTGCAAGCACTCTTCCAATAAACGAACAATCCGAAGAACAAGGTACATATAGCTTAGAAACTTATTAAACTCATTTATGACTTCTAATTACTTGTATTATGTATAGCTTCAGACCCTTCCACTCAAAAAAATACGAGAGGTACAACACAAATGCAAAGTGTACATGGGAGAAATTATCGTAAGCTGATCCTACTGAACAACAACAATCAACCTGTTGGTCCAACCAAAGATGTTGTTGTAGAGTTAAGTAGCTTCCTTGGCACATTGGCAAGGAATGCGACTCTTTGCCCTCTAGACATATTAGTTTGGAGGTATATGGACACAAAAGATGATTTATGGACATATACAGGTTTGAAGTTACTAATGTGAATTATATCACTAAAATTATTTTACATGTTTGACTAATGAAACCAAATTGTAGGAGAAAAATGATATCACTGATGATGCGAAAGAATGGGCGTTAGAAGTAATTGGATCTGCTTGGAGAAGACATAAATTTGATCTGCAGAAATTATGTTACAAACCATGTACTAGTCATGAAGTTCTATTGGCAAAATGACCTCCTTATGTTCCAGAATGTCAACTTAAGGAACTCCTCAAATATTGGGACTCCAATAAACATAAGGTAAATTTAATTTTGGAATCTCAAGTTCTACCGTGATATCTTGTCTAGTGTGATTTTATCTCTCTTTTTTGTTGTGATATTGATTTACTTATTTGCAGAAAATGGCTGAAACCAATACTAAGAATCGGAAAAATTTGAAGAATCCACATACTGCTTGAAAAATAAGTTTTGCTTTAGTCCGCAATGATTTGGTGTGTTTTCTGCTTCTTTATCAAATCTTAACTTGTTATTTTTAATGTCAATTTTTCATGTGAAAAGGATAAGAAAAAGGAATATTCTATATCACTTAAGGAGCTATTTGCGGTTACAAGAACAAGACACCCCGAACGTTTGTACAAGGACTCAAATGAAGACACTATTAGTAAAATTGTACGAATAGTATCTACTTGCACTTTCTTTTTAGATCATTTATTTGATCGTAATTTATATTTATTTGAATTTGTTTATTGAATTTGCTTTGTAGGCTGAAATGGAGGAAATTGAAAAACAACAAAGTGTAGATGGTAGTGAGTCAGTTGATGCATTCTCTTTGGTAATGGGCCCTGAACATCCAGGACGTTTGCGATTATATGGAAAGGGGGTTACAAAGAGTTCTTTGAAAAGGAAAGCAGGCAACTCTGAAACAGTTTCAACTGCCACAAATGATGCAGTACAACAAATGCAAGAAAGGATACAAAAAATGGAGGAACAAATGGAGGAGCAAAGGAGAACCATTCAACAAGATGTTACTGCAAATATAATTTCACAACTTCAACGTGCAGGATTAATTAATGCCGATGTTCTAGCAACACTGTGTTTTCATTCACCTGGAGAAGCTAATTCTGGACCACGAGCTAATCAACTAATCTCTCGGCCATCTACAAGTAGCAACAATAGAGGTTAGTGTCACTTTTTCTTGAGTGGCTTATTTCTTTGGAAGTGTATGGTCACTTATTTTTGCTTTCTTGTTTTTGATAATTATAGTTTACTTTATTAATGTGTTGACACATACAACAAATGATGTATTTTTAATCTAACTATCTGCCTTGAGACGGCAAATCGGAAGCTCTCATGTAGGACATGTTCTGATTTACTGTCATATAATCTATGTTAAGATCTTGACTATATAACACTATACCATTACCAACATTACATGGTATTTCTTCTCTCGCATTTTTTTTTCTTATTTTCTTTTCTCTTTCGGTCTCTTTTTCACTAAACCGTCACATGTCATTTTCTCCGTTTACTTAATGGAAGAAATCAACAAACAACCAAGGCAACATTCCTCATTCTGTCAAACCATATTTCTTTGCAGGAGTTGTAGATAAAAACTCCTACAAATTACATTAAACACCTCTATACTTCTATAAATCATTTCCATAATTTCCGTGAATAATTGTGCCATGCTTAAAGATGTTTTTTTGTACAATTATTGTTGCATTCCTAATTTCTGCTTGTATTTGTCTCTAGCTCTCCACATAATTTGTGTTTCATTGTCTTAATGAAAACACAAGAAAGTTAGTAGTTCTGTTTTCGAGTAGTGTCTTAGTTTCTATAGATAGTGAGTGATTTTTTATGGTACTCTTTAATCATTTATTTAACAACTGGAGTTTGTGATTATATTACATCTCAATAATGTCTCCCCTTTCCTTGTGTTTGTTGTACTTTATCTCTTTAGTTCAGCTTCTAAGTTTGTGGTGGCGTGGACCTCTTCAGGTTGTTCATAAATTATGTCTTTTTAATGGTCTCTAAAATAGGAGCTTATTGATTTGGACATTGTCTTAAGAGTGAAGCTCCATTAACTATTATATATGTGTATAATTTTCATATGGGATTAATCCCAATGGTTAAAAAGAATTTTGAAAAGTGTGAGGCTTGTAGTAAAGCCAAAATCACTAAAATGCCTCATTTTCAAGTTGAAAGGAAAACCGATTTGTTAGAATTGGTTCATACTGATATTTGTGAACTTGGTGGAATTTTAACTCGTGGAGGTAATAGATGTTTTATCACTTTCATTGATGATTTTTCTAAGTTTACATACGTTTCTTGACGAAGAATAAAAGTGATGCTTTTGAAATTTTCAAAACTTATCTCCATGAGGTTGAAAATCAGTTTAGAAGAAAAATAAAAAGAATTAGAAGTGATAGAGGCTGTGAATATGAGTCAAATGAGTTTAATTCTTTTGTTAGATCATTGGGAATAATTCATGAAACTACTCCTCCTTATTTTCCTTCATCTAATGGTGTAGCAGAAAGGAAAAAATAGAACTTTGGTTGAATTGACTAATACCATGCTTATTGAGTCACATGCACCTTTAAATTTTTGAGATGAAGCCAATTTAACTGCTTGTTATGTGTTGAATCGTGTACCTCATAAAAAGTCTAAACTGACACCTTTTGAATTGTGGAAAGGTCACAAGCCAAGTTTGGGATATCTAAGAGTTTGGGGTTGTCTAGCCTTTGTGAGGCTAATGGATCCCAAGATTACAAAGTTGGGTAAGAAAGTTACTACTTGTGTTTTTCTTGGTTATGCTTCAAATAGTACAGCCTATAGAATTTTTAATCTTGAAAATAATGTTATAATTGAATCAGGTGATGCTATTTTTCATGAAAATAAATTCTCTTTTGATTCTAAAAATAGTGGGGGTCAAAGGATTGAACAAAATATTTTGTCACTACCTAGTTCTTCTACTTCTACTTTGAAAATTAAAGAAATTGATGATTTTGAGTTAAGAAGAAGTAAAGGAGCTAGAGTAGAAAAAGATTTTGGTCCTGATTTTTATGTGGTTAATATTGGATGTGACCCTTTCACTTTTAAAAAAGCTTTATATTCACATGACTCCAATATTTGGAAAGAGGCCGTAAATGATGAAATGAAATCACTAATTTCTAATAAAACTTGGAAGTTAGTTGATTTACCACCGGGTTGTAAAACAATTGGTTGCAAATGGGTCTTAAGAAAAAAGTTGAAACATGATGAATCTATTGATAAATATAAGGCTAGACTAGTTTGCAAAAGGTTTTAAACAACTAGAAGGCCTAGAATTTTTTGATACTTTTTCACCGGTAACAAGAATTACATCCATAAGAGTTTTAATTGCTATGACTGCAATTTTTGATTTGCAAGTTCATCAAATGGATGTAATTTTTTTTTTAAAAATGGAAACCTAAATGAAGAAATTTATATAGATCAACCCGAGTATTTTGTTGAAGCAGGCCAAGAAAGCAAAGTATGTAAACTTACTAAATCTCTATATGGCTTGAAACAAGCACCAAAACAATAGCATGAAAAGTTTGATCCTGCATGATTGAAAATGGTTTTAAAACAAATGAGTGTGATAAGTGCATATATCATAAGTCTTGGAATAATACACATGTGATTATTTGCCTATATGTTGATGATTTATTGATCTTTGGTTCTAACATGAATGTTATTGATGAAGTTAAAAATATTCTTAGATGCCATTTTGATATGAAAGATCTTGGTGAGGCAAATTTTATTCTTGGAATAAAAATAACAAGAACATGTGAGGGAATTTTCCTTGCCAGTCACATTATGTTGAGAAAATTTTGAAAAAATATAACTTTCTTGATTGTAAGCATGTTGCTACTCCTTTTGATTCAAGTGTTCACTAATTTCCTACTGAAAGCGAAAATGATGTAATAAATTAAAAGGAATATGCTAGCATAATCGAAAGTTTGAGATATGCGACAGATTGCACTAGGCCTGATATTGCATATGCAGTAGGAGTACTTGGCAGGTTTACAAGCAAGCCAAGTAATGAACATTGGCATGCTATAACAAGAGTTATGAGATATTTAATTAGAACAAAAAATTGTGGTTTGTTCTATTAAAAATATATTGTTGTACTTGAAGGCTTTTGTGATGCAGATTGGAACACATTATCAGGTGATTCCTGTTCTACCACTGGTGATGTCTTTACTTTAGGTGGTGTTGCTGTTTGTTGGAGATCAAAAAAGCAAACTATAATTGCTAACTCTACCATGGAGGCTGAACTAATTGCTTTAGCCTCAACTAGTGAGGAAGAGAATTGGTTAAGAGATTTATTGTTTCAAATACCTTATTTTGAAAAAACAATTCCTCTTATTTTAATTTATTGTGATAGCACCGCTGCGTTTGGTAGAGTTCAAAATCGTTATTACAACGGTAAATTCAGACCTATAAAGAGGAAACACAGTAATGTAAGATCATATTTGACAAATGTTACCATTAATGTTGATTATGTCAAATCTTGTGATAATCTTGCAGATACTCTTATTAAGGCCATAACAAGAGAAAAGGTCTGGAACACATCGATGGAGATGGGATTGAAGCCTATAAATCCTTGAGTCATATATGATGAAACCCAACTTGGGGACTAAAGATCCTTTAATCAGGTTTAAAGGGAAAAACTAATGATCATATGATGACTTGTTGTGAAAAATGCACTATTTTTTTTATTCCCTCCCTGTGATGTGAGTGCATTGTTTCCTATAGTAATTTGTGAAGGTTGAGTTTACAAAACTCTTAATGAATATCTATAGCCTGTATGGGTGGAGTATTAAACTTATATGAGCATTCTCGATAGATTTCACCTATGTGATGTGTGGAAGTAGGTCGCTTCCTATGAGAATTGCGTTATTCTCAAAAGCATTCATGAAATCGGGATAGCACAAGGCCGTAACGTGCTGGCTTTTAAAGCTCATGGGCAGCACATTTGTTGTCCGTTGTTAACATTGGTTATCAAGCATCAATTCCATTCTTTATTGGGAAAATTGTATATAATAGCAAACTATTAATTCAAATTAAATGCTATAAATATAGTTTGATTTAATTGTACCTCATAGCAAACTGTTGTTATTTCACCTCTCTCCTGGTGAATCTCGCTCGCCACTCTCGTTCTCTCCCTCGCCTCTCTCATTTTTTATACAAACGCAAGTGTATAAAGTATCTCGCTCTCTCACTCGCCTCTCTCACTTTATACAAAAACGCAAATGTATAAAATGCATGAAAATTGTATATATACATATATTTTCGTTCTCCTCTCTCCCCTCTCCCAGATCTCGCTCGCCACTCTCCTAGGTCTCGCTCGTTCACTCGCCTCTCTCACTTTATACAAAAACGCAAATGTATAAAATGCATGAAAATTGTATATATACATATATTTTCGTTCTCCTCTCTCCCCTCTCCCAGATCTCGCTCGCCACTCTCCCAGATCTCGCTCACTCGCCTCTCTCATTTTATACAATTGATATTTTTGTATATGTATACCAAAGCAGATTATACAACTGTTTTTTTGTATATGTATAGCGAATTATACATATATATGTTTGCTATGGAGCGCAATTATGCAAACATTGCTATAACATACAATTATGAATTTTGTATTTGCTATATGTGAAAGTTGTTCTTCTTTATTCCTCCACTATACCTTGTAACATATGTAACTCCTAAGGCCATTATCTTCACTATTTAGTACCTATTATCTTCCTATTTATTTCTAGGAAGACTTCTTCTACTATAACTAGTGGTGGTCTTCATTTGTTAACATACAAGAAAAATATAGAGTGCATAAAGTTTGTCAAAAAGAGAGTTCTTATTAATTTGAAGGAAGGTGTTCTTATTGTGTAGCTTTGGACTCAACTCTTGTTCAGAGTTGTTGAGTTATATTTTGTGATTAGGTTGTTGTATCCTGGAGGGGACAAGTCAAGAGGACTATTGCTGGACTGGTGAAAAACATTGGCTGCAGTGGGCTTGAATCTCCTTAAAGAGAGCGAGATATTCGCGTCTCAGCCTGAAGTGATTTTATTTCTTCATTGTATTTTCAATTGTAATCTTGTAATTTTGTTATTTTGTAATTTTCACTAACAAAAAGTAATATTGAAATTGGCCTAACCCATTGGTGGCCCCCTAAAGTTGGCAACA